CCCCCCGGCCATTAGCGCCGCTTTTGAATTGAATGAAGTTTTAGTTCTTATTTGGACTTTTTTATACTTGCGCATTTAAGTAGACGTTGTGCTTTCAAATGAATCGGTTTTTCTATGGAGACTTGCTTCCATTTGAACGATAAAGTTGAGATTTCTTTCAGCCGGGTGAGGTTTGCTTGGGAGGGAATTATTGAATCATCCTTAACCGATCCACATGGTTCGTGAGGGAACACGTGTTCGTCCTTAACCGAGTTAAGGTACTCGGGAGGGGATAACTTGGCGGCTGAAGAAGCAAGAGTCCGAGAGGCGGAAGAGGTTGCTGCTCGGGAGGAACAATCCAAGGCCGAGGCAGAAGCTGCAATGGCCGCCTTCCGGGCCGAGTGCGAAGGCAAGATCGTGAAGGAGCACGAGGAGGGGTTTTGGCATGCCGTTCGGCAGGCAACCCACTTCGGCGCTTTTCCCCCTGACTGTTCTTTCGAATTGAGCAAGGACTTCTTTCAGGGGGAATTCATGGATTTTGCCGAGGCGCCGGATAACCTTGAGCCGGATGATGCGGCCCCACCCCGATCGGCCCCGGCAGAGGATCCTGGAACCACTCTGAATGATGATGACGAGACCGAGCAGACCACCAATGCTGACTAGGCAGCCTCTGTTTTGGATTCATACATCTGTTTTGTTGATGGTGTATATGGATAGGGTATATTTTTTGTTTCTTTTTTGATTCCTTGGGCCGGATGAGCCATACTCGATTGTACCCCCCCGGCCATGAGCGCCGCTTTTGAATTGAATGAAGTTTTAGTTCTTATTTGGACTTTTTTATACTTGCGCATTTAAGTAGACGTTGTGCTTTCAAATGAATCGGTTTTTCTATGGAGATTTGCTTCCATTTGAACGATAAAGTTGAGATGTCTTTCAGCCGGGTGAGGTTTGCTTGGGAGGGAATTATTGAATCATCCTTAACCGATCCACATGGTTCGTGAGGGAACACGTGTTCGTCCTTAACCGAGTTAAGGTACTTGGGAGGGGACAAGTGTTCATCCTTGGCCGAACGAGGTAGTTCAGGAGGGAAT